GTGGCGTGCCATTGGAGAGCCCTATGTCCAGCAGTGGACGAATACGGGCTGATGATGATTAAGAGTGTTTTTTTTGTCAATATAATGTTAAACGATATGTGATGATGAGGTTATGTACACAAAGCACCGCTAATTAGTTGCAGCGCTACACATCGACACAACTGTCATTTACACAGTGTACATGTGTGCGTAATTTCATATAACTGTATATAAAAATATTCGTCCACCACGTTCACATTGGTATTTTCATTCTTGTGTCGGTATACGTATTTTTATAATTTAATGCATAGGTAAGGTTAAAACTATTTACAATCATTGATATGACCCGACATTTTCACTGTCATTATCGTAGTGCTCGTGGTCGATTGGTTAATGAGCACGCTTTTATCGTCTTTCAAGGATCAATGATGTGGGTTCTATTCCAGCTAAAAGTTAATTTTATTTTACCTTGTTATTTTTCTTATTTTTTTTTTTTTTTGTTTTTTGTCATAAAATATAAATATCAGGCTATAAAAGAAGCAAATGAGTTGGTAAATAAAACAATACTATTTTTTATTACAATTAATTTATTTATTATACAAATATGTTGTTTTATATTCAATATTTATATCTAATAATTAATTATATACCACATGTTAAGTTTAAAGTTCTTTAAATCATAATTAATAGATATGACAATAAACCTCATAGTCGAATCGGGAAATATCATGCGGTACAGCGGTAATACTATGGCAGCAACATTTTTTATTAAGTAGGTAATAAACAAATATACAACATTCTTGTTTTGTAATTTAATAATATAATGTATTATTAAATTACAGTTTTACAGTAATAAACAAGTAAAACATGTAAAAAATTACATGTAAAATATTTCTTGAAATGGGCGACTTTTTGTCGTTTGAACTTCCATTAATTATCTATTTTACGACGGTTGTTATAAGGTTCAATATTCAGTGGGCTGTATGATAGTAAAAAGAATGTGACGAATGCTATGGAACGATTTTAACTTTCATGACCTTTAGAATCAGGGAAACTTTAAATTAATTGAAGATGGGCGTAAATATAATATGTCAATCAAGTTCGAAAGCAGTTAAATAAATTTGTTAATGAAAAATTAAAGTGAAGTGAATAAACATGTTGAATAGAAAGAAATTATGACAATTTCTAACCACAAAACAATAACATCACTTCACCGTATGTTCTAGACAGCATTTTAATATTCTTAAAAAAATTAAACATTATTTTATGTTAATTTTAATAAAGGCAGAGTTTGACAGGCTCAATAATTGATTCCGAAATCAATACAATCACTGATCCTACAAGGCAGAAGGTTGCAATTCGTATACCTTTCTCCATCTTTTCTTCACAATATTTTACGCCCATCCTTATCCGACTTGAAAGTCTTTTCGTCGCTCAATATGATTACACTGTTCGCCCAATCAAAATTAATAAAGTCCTTAGCAAATTCTTAGCGCTTTTGCTGGTGAACCACAGATAACAATGTTTTCTTCTCTGGCTTCCTGCACCTTAAACCAGAATGCAGGTGTCTCCGTACAGTTTGTATTAAAACATTCAGTGCTGTCGCTGTAGTGCGGGTTGGCAGGAACGGATCAGCCATGTGCCTGGCTACGATGTCGTAGTGCCGAGCCGATGAATTTGCCTTTGGTTTAGGCCCACGTCGACGATGTTTAACGTCACCGGTCTCCGCATATCTGTGCACCCATAACTGCATGGATCTCCTCTGTTGATACCAAACAAATAAGTATTTAAAATACCAGGAAATACTTTACAGGAATTAAAGTTACTTAAAAATAATAATAAATATAAGTAAACACAATGTTAGAATAATAATTTATAATTAAGTAGTGGCGTAAGGAATAAAAATCCCTAACCAGATATGTTTTAAAGAAACACTCCTAACAAAAACAAGTCAAGTTACAATACAATTAATAATAAATTATTAATATATCTTTATAATATTGAACTTCATAATAAGTTGCAATAATTATTTTATTCTAGTGCAAAAATTGATAGGTGTGTCGAGTTACAAAATGAAATAAATATTATTTAGAATAACAACGTAGTATCTTATTTACTCACCGATATCATTAAACGCCTTGCTATTTCAGTTATTGTTAGTTATGTTTTGCTCATGCAAAACAATGGTTTCAGCCTTTTTAAATGTTGATAGGTGTTGGAACATCTTGTAAAAATAAAAATAACTTTGCACACGAATATAAGTAGTGTAGCAATAAACTATGAAATCCTCATAAATTGACAACTAAGAACGCAATTATTTTGTAAGTCGGGTGATTTGAAAAACATGTTTTAAATAGTCGGTAGTTACTTCATAAGCGTGTAAAATAAAATGACTCGAGATTTCTATGGTCGCCACAAACATTGCAAATATACTCAGGTATCGAACCATTAAGAAATCACAGTTAATTACTTTTTTACTGTTTTTATCTTATTTAAGTTGGTTGAAATGCATGAAGCAAATGAGATTATTCTAAATAATAAATAACTAGAACTAAAATATAAATAAAAGATATTATAGGTATAAATAAATCTAAAGTATTTACTATTAAAATTAACATAAGATTTAATTGTTTCTAATTTCAAATTTCAAATATTTGATAAATTAATTCTAAAACAACATGTGAATGTTGGAATCGATCCGGCGGCACTTTACTTGACAATTGGAGGCGATAACCATTGCGCCAAGCGCGCTGTAGATGAGATCATCGAAATATTTTATATCATTCAGTAACATAAAATTACAATGAGAAAGCACTATATTTATATGGGTATTGTATAGCTCGATCGTTCATTATTTTTGATTTCGATTTATTCAAAGTTTGTTATGAGTAATTTTATCTTTACCCTCGTTTTTATTTAAAATTATTTACTAAATTATTGCGTATACCGACACAAAAATGATTTTTAAATACCAAGATGTGTGTGATAGACGATTGTTTCTATACATATCTATTGATATGAAATTACCCACACATGTATATTGTGTAAATGATAGTTGTGTCGATGTGTAGCGCCGCTAACTAATTAACGGTGCTTTGTGTACATCCTCATAAACTTTGGATACGACATTGGATAGGATAGATACTGACATTGGATAGGTCAGGCTTGAAGTAACGGCATTGTTTACGAGTGTCAAGTGATGCGTGTTACCGTACCGGTGTGTAGGAACAATGCGTACACTTTTACTGAATGAACCACAAAATATTAATTCTAGGTACAAACTTCTGCCTACGACTTCGTACGCGCAAACCCGTTTTCTCACGTTACCATAGGATTTTCAAGATTTTTTCTGTCTTAAGAACCTTCCCCTAATCATAACAAATACAATAAAAACCTTGTATTAATAATAACAAATACAACAGAAAAAGAATGAGTGAAATCGGTCCAGCCATTCACGCGTGATATCGTGACCAAAGAAAAAGGGTCTCATTTTTTGTATAGTACATAGATCTATACAATGAATTGCCCTGGAAATTAATAACAGTTCTTAATTTCAAATATGGGATTAATCTAAGTTTTTGACAAGAAATCCGTACAAGTACCTAATGTCTAAAATCGACCTTAATTCAAAGATTATTGCTGAATGACAGCTTTACGTGAGCAAACCGAAAACATAATATAGTCAAAGTCAAAGCATTCATTTCAATTGGGTACTTGCCAACTAGTCATATTAAATACTTTTTTCGAACTGTCAAAAACGATCGTTATCTATGAATTTTGTACGAGATTGTGTATTGTGACGTCATGATTTTTTAGCGCAAACAGCATACTTATTTCTTCAAATTTGTTGAAAAATTATTAAAATTAAGTTGGTTATAAAATCAATTAATGAAAGTGTAATTATTTTTTAATATTTTATTGTACTGTTCACAGTCGAAATAAATGAATTAAGATTAAGGAAAGTACCCAATTAAAGCGTAATTTGGTACTTTTGAAACGTCAACAAATACAAAATAAATAAGTCAGTTAGTCTTTCCGCAAGTGAAGCTGGGTGCTATTAATAAATAATTGGGTACTTGCCTTCATCAATAAAATATTAAAAAATAATCACACTTTCATCATTAATTGATTTTATGACCAACTTAATTTTAGTATTTTTCCAGCAATTTTTTAAGAAATAATTATGCTGTTTGACGCTAAAAACACGTGACGTCACAATACACAATCTCGTACAAAATTCATAGAAAACTCTCGTTTTTGACAGTTCGAAAAAAGTATTGAATTTGACTAGTTGGCAAGTACTTAGTACCACTCAATTTAGTGTGTCTCACGTAAGTTATAATATTATTAGAATGTTGCTCAGTGAGTGCATTTAAGATATTAATGATACGACAGAAGATAGACAGATGTATTCTATTTTAAATTGGTGCTGACATGAGGTATGAATAAACCACTCCCGTAAACTTATTACAAAGAATTAGCTGATGGTACTAATGACCTTTGGTAAGTTAATTTGATTGACACTTAATTGTTCTTATACTTTAATTATTTAACTACTGACTAAAAGATAGGCGAACTAAATATTTACTTATCAGAATTTAGCTACCTTTAGGTACATGTATTTATATTATCAATTTAAAAAAAAATAAGAATGTATAATAATAGTAGCAGTACCGGTATTTAAGTCAAAAACCTTATAAAGCTGTCACAAAGTGGCGTAATTTTTTTTTTAATATTTATATTATAAATTCAAATAGCTAAAAACTAAAATATTTACACTTTAAAAAAATATGACGTAAAGATTTGCTCTATATGACGTAACTCGATTTATTGATAATTAAATTCGTTGCAATAAAATAAAGAATTAGAACAAAAAAAATATGTGGTAAAAGAAAAATAAGGTCTTATCATTCAAGAATTTTTTCGTTATTAATTTTTTTACGCTTAGGTATAATCTAGCACAACAAATAGTTATAATGTCAAAAGAATAAGACAATAAAATAACAAAAAGAATTACTCACCTATATTTAAGATCCATAACTTCAAAATTATAAACCGAAGAATACATTCCCGCCAAAAATACAGGAAACAATATCATAATGAAACTAAAAACATTGAATTTTCCAAAAGGGCCCAAAATCGTTAAAATATCATCCACAGTCACTTCCGAACTCGGTTTCTTTTCGGGATCCATAGTAAGAAAAGTCACAACACTATTTAAGAAAACTAATTAAAAAAAATAAACAATATCTATTTGACACTTCGATTTTTAAATTTTCGTTTGAATATGGAGCGAACGCGCGTTTCGTCTGTTGTCGGGGCAATAGTGCGCGCGCCTGACTCGATCTATCGCTTTTATTGTTCAATGTAAAATCATCAACTATCGGAATGAAGTTTACTTACGATAACATTGACGATTAAACTTTACACTATTTACTTGTACTTATACAATGAGACGAATAATTAGCATCTTTTTATAGTAAAAGCTAATTAAATTTATGTTAGAAATACAATGACAATTTATTTATTTATTTTGGTCAACCAACAATTGTTTACACTAGGTATATATGTGTCGCGGAGAACCTAACGGGAAACACAGGAGAAGGACAGGGTGGTTTTAATTCAGTAAGAGTCTGACAGTCCCTCCCGTCTCACCCAGGCGGGAGCAGTCATTCGATGATTTTCCCCCCTTAAAAAAACACTATATATGTATGTACATTACTGATTAAATAGTTAAAGAAACATTTACATTTATAGGTCAAAATCACATGTAAATAAAAATAACGGTAAACAATAAGTAGACAAATGATGATCTTGATGACTTATCGATCGTATTATCTTAACAAAATTAGGATGTAGTCATTACTGTCCTTATTATGTAATTATCTAGTAAAGTCGGCAAAAGAAGAAATAGACAAATTATGATAGAAATGTCAATTTCCTCAGTCCCTTAATAATGGAACAATTATTTTCTAGAAACCATTCTTAATTGTCTGACTGCCTAGTTGGCCGAGTGATCGCAAATGCAACTGCCGGGCAAGGGGTTTCGGGTTCGATTCCCGGGTCGAGCAATGTATTACTAGGTTTTTTAAAAAGCTCTTAGTAGCAACACGGAGTCTGGAATTGTGCCCGGTATATGGCAATAGGCTCACCCCCTATTACATGGGACTCATACCATAACGAAAAGTGCGTGTTACATTGTACAGTGGTATTAAGTGCCATAATGTGCACCTCTGCCTACTCCTTCGGGGATAAAAGGTGTGATGTTATGTTGTAGGTTTAGTCACTGCATCATCCCTGGTATTCTAAAAGGGGCTTAAATAATATTAAGATGTAAACAAAGAAGTTACGCAAAAACTTACCTCATAGAAATGGAAAGTTACGGAGCTATAGTGTTGTTTTAGAGGTAACCACAGATACTTACAACATTCATTGGTTTTAACATTGGAAAAAGGTAGAAGAAATTTGTCTAAGAGGCCCCTACTTAGTCTAGCAAGATGTCGCGGAGAACCTAACGGGTTACCGGGGCTCCGGCTCGACGTGCAGGAGAAGGAACGGGGTGGTTTTTAGTCAGTAAGAGTCTGACACTCCCTCCCGCCTCCCCCAGACGGGAGCAGTCATTCGATGATTTTCCCCACTAAAAAAAAAAATGCTAGCAAGATGATGAACTGACACTTGCTGATGATGGCGATAAAAACTTATCGATATCAAATAATATTGAACGTAATGGTTTCAGGACTGCCTCGTTGGCCGAGTGGTCGCAAGTGCGTTTGCCGGGCAAGGGGTCTTGGGTTCGATTCCCGGGTCAGGCAAAGTAATACTGGGCTTTTTCAAAAAATCTCAGTAGTAGCACGGAGTCTGGAATTGTACCCGGTATATGGCAATAGACTGACACCCTATTACATGGGATGGGACTCATAACATAAATAGTGAAAAGTGGGTGTTACATTGTACAGTGAAATATACACCTCTGCCTACCCCTTCGGGGATAAAAGGCGTGATGATATGATGAAATGTAATGGTATCAGTTTATATTACTACAAGTATTTTGCAAGGAGGCAAACGAGCAAACGGATCACCTGATGGTAAGCGATCAGCGCCGTCCAAGACACCCGCAACACCAGAGGAGTCACAGGTGCGTTGCCGGCCTTTGCCAGTATCATATCATGTGTAATGTTAGACATTGTTTTGTTCAACATGCACGGACTGTGAATGGAGTTCAAATAACACTGGTTACCAAGAAATTACAATTCACTTTGTACCAGAGCAGTGTAAAACAGATTTTTTATAAAAGACTAACGAATGGAGTTTCTTGCTCGTTGTTCTCCACTCGAATCGACATTTTGGGTCGCGGAGAACCTAACGGGTTACCGGGGCTCCGGCTCGACGTGTAGGAGAAGGAACGGGGTGGTTTTTAGTCAGTAAGAGTCTGACACTCCCTCCCGCCTCACTCAGGCAGGAGCAGTCATTAGATGATTTTCCCCCCTTAAAAAAATAAAATCGACATTTTGGAACGAGCGCCTAGCTTCACTGACGGACAGACTGACAGACTATTATTTATTTCATATTTGTTGACGTTTTAAAAGTACCAAAATATGGTTTAATTGAATAAATGCTTTTGAGTTTAACCCGTCGAGCGTCCGCGTTCCTTATGATCCAACGGGTGCACACGTGACATTTGGAGAAAGAAAGAAAGAAATGCATTTATTTGGCCATTGGCACACGAAAACAAGGACCATTACAATAGAAATAAAACAAATACAGTCAAAATAAAAACAAAACATTAATAATAGATTTTATAAAAGAGAAAGCAGCATGGAGCATTTTTTCTTATGATCCACCGGGTGCTCATAAGGACGCTCGAGGGGTTAATTGAAGCTAGGAACAATACCTAGTAGTTGTGGATTGGTGAGCTACGTTCTGGTTGTATTGGAGTGATTGAACCTTTTCATTCATTGGTCTTTTTGTGAGGCGCCATCTTTTGGAGGTTTTATCAGTAAACTATAAAGGGACTTATCACTGTTTCTCGAAGGTGATGGTATGATGATATTGTATTTAAAATATTGGAACTTAATAATTATAGTATCATAACATATTTGTGTACATTTAATTTTCGTTCTATTCACTGTACATGGAGCACCTCTGTCTACCGCTTTAAAGATTAAAAGTGTGATATTATGTAGAAAGAAAGAAAGAAAAAACATTTATTCGACAGTAGTAGTATGTACATTATGTATCATCATCTTACTATTATTAAAGCGGAAGCGCTAATCTCCGTAACTATAAGTCTGATTTGAATAATTATTTTTGTGTTGACGATGGCTATAGGATATAAAACATCACGCTACGGCCAATAGGAGCTAGCACAGCGTGTGAAACCGCGCGGAAGTACCTAGTTATCACCATAAAGACCACTGCTGAACATAGGCCCCCTTCAATTATTTTCAGATCAGGTCGGTTATAAGTTATAACCAGTGTATCCAGCAGCTTCCTGCAAAGTGTTGCGGTCACCGGTGTCCTCGCGGTGTTTGACAGTTTAAACCATAATTTGATATGTAGAATATAGAAGTACATATATATATATATATATATCTTCTATATGTACTTTTATATAAGTACCAGTTTCGTATGTTTATTGTTAAGACGCACGGCCGCAAGGCTAAAGGTATTGAGACTATCAAGGAACTAAATTTTAGTTTTTACCTTTTATTTATGTAAACACGTTACGTGTCGTATTTTTTACTGCTATTGTTATAAACAAGTCGATTAATTAAATAATTCATAACATTAATAATTTCAATATAAAGGCAACAAACTGTTAAATAGGTAGATAACCTAAAAAAGTAACGATTGAAACACAGATATATTATAGAAGGATTGAAACCTGGGATTGGAAGAATGTATTGAATAGTATTATTAAGTAGTACTATTAGTAGTATTCATTCTGAAAAGTGTGGGAGAGCCATGCTTCGGCACGAATGGGCAGGCTCAACCGGAGTGATACCACGGTCTCACAGAAAATCGACGTACAATGCTTGCGTTTTGTTTCGTCGTGTGAGTGAGGTTTATGTACGCCCAATTATCCCCCTTCCCCAGTCTTCGCTATCCTCAAATTCCTATTTCCCAAAGGCCGGTAACGCAATTGTAACGCTTCTGGTATTACAGGTGTCCATGGGCACCGTCGATTGCTTGCTATCGGTCCGTCAGCTCGTTTACGGGCTTATCCCATAAAAATCAGTCAATCTATTTTTGATGAAATAGGAGGCAAAGGAGCGGACGGAACACCTGATAGTAAGCGATCAGTACCGCCCATGGACACCTGGAACACCAAAAGAGTCATAGATGCGTTGCCGGCCTTTTAAAAACAATAAGTAGGTACGCTCTGTTCTTCAAGATCCTATCTTGTTGGATTACTGGTTTTAATTGGATGTTCAATAAACTAAGGATTTTAATAATAAAGTCGATCGCATGGATCTAGGGCAAGATTAAGAACGGCCAATAAAGAAATTCTCAGAAAATAATATTATTCTCAGTTTTTCCTCCAAACTGGCTGCATGAAGTTCCATGAAACCCGTCCGATAAGCAATTAACATCGCCTGTGGATACTACAGGAGTTACTGATTTTTTGTCGACCTTTAAATTATGAAACTAACACATTTAAGTATCTCTAAAAACAAACAATTTAAGTAAATATGCGTACATTAGGCGGTCTTATCACACAATGGTGATTTCTTCCAGACAACCTTTGGATGGAAATATTTATAAGAAACCAGATATGGGGTAGTTAAGTGTACAATAAAAAAAAGACATAAATTACCTCTATAATATACTAACAATATAAATAATATAAAAAATACAATAAACTATGTGTGTAAGTGTGTTTGTGTATTTGTGTGTGTGATTGGTTGTTTGTATGTATATGTGTGTACAATTAATAGGAGGAGAAACAGAAGCTTATAATGTGAGAAAGTACTCCTTCACAACGACACAAATACCAAGGACATTGAAAAAAGTCGGACGTAATGTCGCTTAGAAATGATAGAAGCACCAAAATATCACTGGTGTATTCATGTGTGCGTGTACTTGCAACACCGTAATATATGAAGTGTATTGAACGGCCATGTCCCGCGACAGATGTCCTTCGTGTCAATGTTTGTGTATTCTGCGTGTAAGTCTATAGTAGTCAGGTGGCAC